GCTTCTGGCATTGGTGTACGGGCATTGGTATACAGACAGGAAGTCCCATTGGGGGCCCTTGCCTTCCCTACTTATCATCCTGGGTCTAGGGTGGGGGTGGGTTCCCTTAAGTGCCTTAGTCTGCTGGATTTACAAGGGTTGTCCAGTGGGCTAGCAGTGGCAACAATCCCCCCAGCCCCCAGCAGGCTTAGCTTAAAGCCCAGTTGAGCAGGTCAGCCAGTCTGGCTGAGAAGAGCATCCTCCCCAGTGGAGTGAGGTGGAGGCCATTTCTCCCCAGCAGACCACTGTCTCTGTCACCGAAGAGCGGACTGTGATCATGGAAGTCGAAACCTTCACGATGACAGTAGCGCCGCAGTCTTTGGTTGACTACCTCAACCCATCTATCCCTCCTCAGCCCATGACCCACAACTGGAAGGAGCGAGGAAAAGACCACCTGCACACCCAACCCCCAAGTTGCACTCCCAGAGCCCTGTAGTTTCTCATGACCTGGCTAGGATTGCTCCGAGCCACGTCATCCATGCCCGCATAGATAAGAAGCATAGGGTAATGGTCGAAGGGCCGGATAATCTTTGGGATCCTCTCTGTTATGTCCTTGATGTGGGGCCCCAGGAAGTAGCAGACCTCCTGGGCTAGGGGGTCAGGTGGCAGATTGCCCCCTCAGGAGGAAGTCTCCCATGACAACCGCTCTGCGTTTTGTCTTAGTAGTGGTGGTGGGTGATCCTCCCATGCCTGCAGGACTGGCATCTCTGCAGGCTCTACTGGGGCTGCAAGAGGTTCGTACCTGTTGCAAAGCCCCAAGGGGGAGGGGACCTTGGTGTGGTGGGCCTTAGGGCCCTTGACCACCTTGGTCCAACCCCCTGGCTGGACAGTATGGGAGATCCCCAAGTCCTCCCTTGTCCTTGTCCTAATAAAGAGACTCCTAATTTCTTTATTCAAGAAGAGAGAAGGCATAGAATGCAGCCAATGATGATAAAAATGCCAAGCTGGTAGTGCCAAATGGGGCAGAACAATTTGAAGTGGTTGGGAAGGTGTACAGGGCATAAGACCCTCCTTCCCCGCCAGCCCAAATCAAACTGTTCAGAAACATATTATGCCAAAACCATAATAAAGAAACCAGAAATTAGTATCAATAAACTGAAGAAGCCCTTCAAACAGAAAGCTTCAGGAAGATTTGTAAGGCCACAGGCATCCTTGAACAGTTTTATACCTACATAATCTGTTAGTACATTTATTAATCTAAAACAGTTTTTAGTGAGGTACAGAGAACACTTTCTGAGAGGCAGAACAGTTTTGTGAAGTGTAGTATCAGAGTATAGAGTGTTTAGGAGCTCAAATAAATTCAAACAAAAACATTATGACATCAGGTATTGTCTGTCTTGCAGACAGAAGGTTATCATTATATTGAGGCACATCCACATCTCTCCTTCCTTCTCCCAAAATTGTTATTTCATCAGAATTTTTTTGCTAAGACAACCCACGTTATGCTGCGATTCCTTCTTTCTAAGACAGATTTATTTATGGACCATGTAAGATTGGCATATTTTCAATTATCCATGTCAAGCATTAATGAAATGCATAAACTATTTACTTTATGGTTGAGGCAAGGATTTTTGTGGGTGATATCTTTTGTTGGACAAATTGCATGGTTAGGAGACAATCTTTTCAATGCAGTGCACTGCATTTGAAAGATTGCCCAAGTCTATCTCAACAATGCACTTGGTCCAATAATCCTTGTCTCTTGCATATTTCCTGGATTATCATGGCTATAACATTTTTCCATCTTCCTGACAATTATATACTCATTCACCTCTAGAAAGTAAGGGGTGCGTTCTGTTTATTTAGGAGATTAACAGAGTTTATTATTTTTCTAAAATTTTACAATACAGAGACCGAGGCCCAAAAATTATAACAGTTTTAATAACTATTTTGTGGATGAACAAGTAATTATGCTGGCAAATTTAAAACAGATACATACATACACCACTGCCTAAGCTTGCACATTTTAACTCATTGGAAATGCTGACTGAATATAGCTCTATGATCTCAAAAAACAAACAGTATAGTCAGGAGTGCCTACAGTGTTTAAATTGCCTCAAAACAGATTTAATTTTATTACAGTGTAGCTTCCCAAAGTGACATCAATCCACCTGATAAGATTTAGATTTTTTTTTAAAGACAAACCTGGTGTAACCTATAACCCATATTTTAAAATTTATCACAAATGTATGATATTTAATACTATTACATACGACTGAGTCGTAATAGCAACAAGATGTAAAATTTTTACAGTGTTCTGCTACAATAATCCACATAGGGACTAATGGTAGTTTTCATCTGGATCCACAATTTAGCAACAAATACATATTTTGAGGATACTGCTACATTTACAAGAATCTGAACCACAGAATATTTAGTCTATGGTACAATAACTAATATAGAGTGACAAAGCAGATTTAAACATATCTATAATTTGATTTTTCAAGCATAGCCTAAATCTAATCCACAGTCAAAAAACTTGCTAATCAACAGTAGATGTCAGCTTCAAAGTTTTTTTTTTTAAATCAAATGATATGTACATACTCACAACTTAAACAGCTTCTTAATAAAAAGCATTTACTCTATTTTACAGTTGTCTTTGCTTGAAAAAAGTTATTTTTCCATACACATTTAACATTCTAAATCATTGATACAATAAGTCAGTGAATTTACAGAATGGCAAATTTCTCAGCAAGACCATGCTGGAAATACTCTGAAATATTCTGGGGTTTGTGTGTGACTGTTTTGCTTTTAGAGTACTACTGAATATCTGTTTTGGAAACTGGCAATTAAATGTCAAAATGCATAAATGGCATCCAGAATAGAAACTCAACCCACAATACCTGCAGATATTTCTGCTACAAACAATCTTCTGTAACAGACATTTATTAAATACAATACTTTTTTTTACAACTTTAAACCATGCTGATAGCATGGAAAGATTTTTTACAACATGGAAACAGTTTTCCTTCAGTTAACTGGTTATCTATGTCATAATTTAAGAATTCATCGATAAACCCAACCAATACAAAGGTGCTCGACTACATTGCCTTTAAATAAAAAAATACTGCATCTTTCAGACATTGCTAAGAACAAATTATATAATTAATGGTCATAGTCTTAAACATTCAACTTGCCAATTACTGAAGGCCACTTAAAATAACTGATTAAACAAAAGTGAGCATAAGCCACACACCAGGACAGGTTTTATGCACAAGCATAAAATGCAAAACATAAAAAGTGATGGTAACAGATGAGATGGAAAAGCAGCTTTTTAAAGGGTCATTTCTTGTTTCCCATATTTTTTCAACCTAACCTTTTTGTTTTGCATTGTGTACAAGTTGTGAAAAAAATTTCATGTTACCAGGTCTAGCTTTTGTCTTTAAATCACTATGATGTCAATTTCAAGCCATCATTCCTTTGCATTAAAATATATACATTCTATATATCATTCAGTTTCCCTCATTGAAAATATGTACTGTACAGTCCTACATGATAAAAGCAATATTTCCAGAATAACTTAAGCCTTCATCACTGGATTGGTTCTACATAGTTTGCAGGGTATAAGCCAACTTGTCCACTGTCTAGACGTCCTTTGCACCAACCTTGTTCATCTTCATCTTCTGTTTTAGTTAGTTCATCCCCTGTAAAATAAATGTCATATTTGACATACAAATACATCTAGGTAATAACAGGATAACACTCAGTCACCTAGATTCTAGATGTCCACACCTCTGCTCACCCAAACTGGCCCCATCACTGCTTTCCGAGTCTGCTCTCATCTAGAGGTGCACCGATACATCAGTCCCATATCAGATATTCCCAATATAGGGAAAAATTGAGAGCATCAGCAATCAGCTTATTTTGCCTGATATGGCCAATAAATGTCCCGTGCATGCACACAGCCAGGAGCACAGCTCAGTGGCTTGGAGAGCAGCATTGGCCAGTAAGTCTGTTGTGGGGGAAGGGGGAAATCAAGGCTCCCATGATGAGGGAGGAAGTGGGGCTGGAGCAGGTGCTGCTCAGGCAGGGCGGTGTGGGGTGCAGGACAGAGCCATGAGCAGCTCTCCTGGGGGGTGGCTCCTGCTGCTGTGTGCACCCTGGGAGGGCATGGGGGGCATATGCCCCCAGATCTATGTGGAGTAGGGTGGGCTGGGGCCAGGGCTCTTCCCAGGGTGGCACTGGGCTCTTCCGAGGGGGCTGCACTCAGGGTGGGTGGTGGCGGTGCTGGGAGTGGGGCTACAGGGGGGAGCTACAGCAAATTTTGAGGTGGCTGCAGCCCCCCCACCTCATAACCTCCGAGTGCTGCTGCCACCCACCCCAAGCACAGCCCATCCCAGCCCCTGCAAGGAAGAACCCAGTGTTGCCCTGACCCCAGCCTGCAGCAGCCTGCCCCACCCCATACGCAGATCCAGGGGCACATGCCCCCCATGCCCTTCCAGGGTGCACACAGCGGTGGGAATCACCACCCCCTCCCCACTCCCGCAGACAAGCTGCTCATGTTTCCACCCCGCCCCAACTGAGCAGCACCTGCCCCAGCCCCACTCCCTTCCTCACTACAGGAGCCTTGATCTGCCCCCTCCCATGCCCCTTCCTTCCCCCCACAACAGACTTACCAGCCCAATGCTGGTCTCCATGCTGCCCAGGGTTGCATATTGGAATCAGATCGGTATTGGCCAACATGGCTCTGTGGCAAGGCACTGTTTGTGCCTGCCACTTTAAGGACTGAAGCCAAGCAGCCAGCAGATGCCTGATTAAGGCAGCCATTTTAGATTCAGGGCTACCTATATAAGCAGGGCATTTTGCTGCTGGCTGCAAGGCTTCATGGAATACTCTGGAGGTAAGGGAGGAGCTGTAGGGGATGGTCAGGAGGCTCCTGGTCCTGGGCATGACCTAAAACTGCACCCTGCCAGGAGTGGGTGGCCTGGTGGGGCTCTCAGTGGTGCGGGAGCCCCCAGGAAATGCCAGGCCAGTTACCACCCCGGTGGAAGGAGAGTTGGGGCACCTTAACCCCAGCTCCCACAACTGGGTGGGTTACCCGCTAGTAGGGCCCAGAGGGCAGACCCCAGGAGATAGAGTGGGGATAGAGACTCAGAGACCTGATAGAAAGAGTACCCTCGACTGGTCAATGCTGAGGCCAGGACTAGACCAGTGATAAGGGCCAGGGGCCCACCATGAGGAATACCCAGAGCTAAGAGGGCCTGGGGTTTCCAACTGGCCTGGGAGACGAGACCAGCACCTGTATGGCCAAAGGTCCCAGGGGGAC